GTGCTATCACTGTGCCACCATGCCACCCAGAAGTACCACTTGATTTTAGCCCTGCATTCACACTTGCTCTCAAAAAAAAAACAAACTTCTATCAGAGCACTGGAGATGGTACAGAGAAGTTTCATGTGGTTTATAGCCAAAATGCATGCTTTTATATATAGTAGGAAACGATTGACAGGCTCTCTTGAAAAAAGGCTGAGGTGTGACATAATGCAGGTCTTTAACATAATGAACAATTTGTTAGTGTGGGCAGAGATCACGTTCCCTCTTCTAGAGAAGAACGTGACAAGAGATCATCAATGTAAAAAAGTCACAAAGAAATACCCAGGGATTCAGAAGAAACTACTTTACCCATAGAATGTGAAACTTGTTGCCACAGTGTCCAGTGAAAGCAAGTATGATAGATGCATTTATGGAAAAGCTAGATAAGCATTTGAGGGAAAAAGGGACAGATGGTTGCAATACTAAATTAGATAACAAAAGATTGAAGGAGGCTAAAATAGAGTGTAAACACAGTAGTGGTCTGACTGGGCTGATTGTCTTGTTTCTGTGCCATATGCCCTGTATAACCTTATATTTTTGTGTCTTATAACAAATGATTCATTGCAGGAGGAAGTATCACCTCCATGCTTCATTTGTGTGTCATTCCAAATTGTGTGCTCAAATCCTAGAATGGAGCTTGACTTTATGGTTTGACTCCAAGGTGAGAGTACCACAAACTAGCCAGATTTACACACCTCTTTGAATTTAGATTTGTGAAGAAGTATAATAAAGTTGCAGCAACAAGGCTATGGGTGAGTTAACATAGTTCATTGTCAATCTGAATTACACTTATAAATTATCACAGTGTAATGATCCATTAAATTTATTTCCTATTCTTACGTAACCATTGCTTTCCAGAAAGCTGTTAACAGCAGCTTACTAAATACAGGAATAATTTGTGCACAAGCAATTTAAATCTGACCTGAAAACGATTGCTCCCAGAATGGCCTATATAAATATGCTTGCACCCACATTGTAGTTAGTCAATTGCCATGTGAACTAATGAGTGTTAGAAAATCCCACACACTGATGTTTGGTTGCATTACAGAGCTCATGACAGATTTCCTTCTGTTTTACTCGCTTTTGTGAGGTTCAATAAAATATACCACTGTTTCATTTGGAGCTGCTTCAGTGAAGTCTGAAGAAATGCATTTTTACATGTAAATTTTGTAATTTATCAATACAATGTCTGTTTGATTTCAGAATTTTGATAAATACTTGGATTTCTAAAGGTGCTTTGCTCAGACAGGAGAGGTTTATTTTACCTCATCTAATTGAAACAATTTCAAAGTGGATTCTTGCTTTGATTACAGTCACCACCAAGGATTTTATTTTATCTCTTTAAACTGTATTACGCCTTGGAGCAGATGTCAAAGTTCAAATGAGTACAATCGGGTTTTGTTTGCACTGCTTTTCGTGTAATCCATAACCTTAAAGAATGTTAGATTTTTTTGTATGATGTAGATAGAAATCTATATATAACAGGCGTGTACATCAGCTCAGAGGTTCAACCACTATAGAACAACATGGAGGACCTTCAATGTAAATTCAAATCTTCACTGTATTTGCCCTTAAATTTAGCTGTGGACGGAATTCATTGACCTCTAACTTATTCCAATACGTAGTTTGGATTTCTGGAGTGTATTCCCTGCTAGAATGTAATTTGTTATTTGATTTCCAATCTAATGTTTCACCTGCTTCGTTGCAACACAGTTCTCAAAAACACATTCCTTTAAATTTCCCATCTCACTATGAACATGTGTTGTCATGTCTTATCCTAAAACCTTTAAAATTCATTGTATATCAATAATAATAGTTATTAACGCCTTTCTTTCAATTGATTATATGGTATAACACCATTATATTCAGCTCCACAATCATCCTTATTCTCTATATTGTCCACATTGATTCATTTTCATTTTTGAATTGAACAGTCACCTTATATTTGTAGTAAATTTGAAGCTAAAGATTTCTTTACTAAGAATTTAGATGACCTTAATCATGACAGCATGAACAAAAACCCACCTTCATTTGCGTCAATTGTTGTTATATTGTTCATCTTATTAACAGGAGCTTATTTGCTGTAGGAAATGCTAACTTAGATTGTGTTGCAGAGAGGAAAGCAGTTTTCAATTTACACATACCCATTTGTATTAGGACTGTATAATTCCAATTCAGAGTTGGGTAAAAAGTCAATATCCCTGTCCCATTTTGTAGACCAAAATTGAAGACCATTCTGGAAAACAGTATTCTGTGTCCCAGGGTGCCTGAAAGATGCCCAATCCACCATTGATGTTCAGGTTACTTATCACCGAATACGGATAGCAGGTATTTTGCATTGTCCATGAGGTAACAAATACCTGCTTTAGGCCTTTTGCCTCTCTGCTTAAACTCATTTCCAAACTACACCACTGTAAAACAGAAGCTGTGCCTGCTCGACCGGATTTATAGGTGGCCCAGCAGTGACTTCCACCAAAATGTAGAGTTTTAAGAAAGGGATAGCTTTGTTGTGAGGCCAGAGAGGTCGCAAACACTCTTGAAGTTACATTTATCCACATTTTATCTACTTCCTGACTGTCTAGGATTTGCTTTTCAGATGCGAGTGACACAAGAGACCCTTTAAAAATGGAAAATGGTCAAGCTGCCTTTGGATGTGCTGGACGCAGATAATGAAAAGGCCAACCTTTGGCCTGGGTGCATTCTATCTGCTCACCACTGTCTATAAACAATTTCTCAGCCAGGCTGTGTAAAGTGAATGATATTCACTTGCCACAATGTGTGCAAAAATGTAAAGAATAAACTGGTATTTGAGCAAAAACAGTTTGCAATTATAAATCTAAAGTGACTATATTATTCAAAAAAACAACATATTCTGAAAGAAAGGGCTCTTCAAACCTGGAATTATCCTCCTGGTGACTTTCTGCTCTTCTCCGATTCCATTGCCACCAGGGGTAGCATGGTGACTCAGTGATTAGCACTGCTGCCTCTTAGCGCCAGGGAACCACATTCAATTGCACCAATGGGTGACAGTTTGTGTGGAGTTTGCACATTTTCCACGTATCTACGTGGATTTCCTCCCACAGTCCAAAGTTGTGTAGGTTAGGTCGATTGGCCAGGTTAAAAAGCCCATAGTGTTCCAGGATGTGTTGGCTAGGTTGATTAGCCATGGAATATGCAGGGTTACAGGGATAGGGTAAGGAGTACGTCTGGGTGGGATGCTGTTCAGAGGATCGCTGTGTAGTCGATGGGCCAAATGACCTGCTTCCATACTATCGAGATTCTATTCTATTCATTGGGAGAGCTTTTCCTCTACATCCTGCAGGAATGCAGAGCTAGGGGTTAAAGGAACTTTTATGACTACGTGATGGAATCTCACATTGCAACATTAAAAAAAAGTCAAATATGATCATGATTGCATAAGAATGCGTTTCTGACAAGGATCTATCAGTGCCAGCGGACAATCTGTAAGACTGTATTATGACAGTGCATAAGGCTTCTTTTGTCCTCCAACTGTTCCACTCCTGGAACAGTTGTTTCTCCAAGTGAAACCACCTGAAATCAACATGTTACTTAGTTGCAACCCAAAAACCCAGTGATATTTTTTCAAATACCAATGCAAAGTTTTAATAAGATAATTATAGTTTGTAACCACATTTATTTACAATGTTAGAAACTGCAGCATGAGAGCTTTAAATCCTATCAACTTGTGTAAAGTGATAAAATCTTGCAGTATTGCATTCTGTTTTTTTGTTCTATACCTACATTTGGCCTGAATAACAAAAAGAAAGCTTTCACAAACAGTACATTTTAGCATGGCATAAATGGTTTATTCAGAAAAATGTCATTAGATGATATGGGTCATTAAACTCTCCAATGAAGGAAGTTGAACAATGCCGTGTTTATGGCACATGTTTGTTTCAATCTAATGCAATGCAAAGTACTTGAGGCATGAATCAAAACTGAATACGATCATATTATCAGGACAGGAAGAAATTCCAACTAATGCAGCAAGTTTCTCTTATGTTGCTGGAAATAAATTCTGTCCTCCATGCTCGGCCTAGTCTGGAAATGAGTCAAACAAAGAAGCAAAATCCAGTTGCTGGTTCAACTGATCTCATTTGGGGCAGAGAGAATATGGCCACAAACTACCTGCTGACAACAAACTCAAAAGACAAAGTAAGCCAGAATTGTTCTGTTGTCTCAATGTTCTCGGTGTTCCTTGCTGGACAGTGCTTTCCTGTGGATCTCAGGTGAGGATAGAGTTAAGTTCAACTGTAATATTTAATGTGACCTAATCTTGGTCCTCAACACTTAGTCTCTGGCTGATAGTCAAACACATCACCTCTCCCGTGTTGTTCCTGATTGTCTACCCATTGACAGGCAGGAGTTAAATAAGGCTTGTGGTTTAGAACAGCTCAATTCTGGAACAGTAGATGAGTCCATAACTCCCTTCGTTACTCACCTGTTCTGAGGTTGAAGACGGGATCAGAATCTTTGAGGACAGGAGGTGTTCCAATGAATCGCTGAGTTATTTTAATATTAGCACAATAAGGAAACAAAGTTGATTTTTTGTTTCTATTTCAGTGAATCCTAAACAGAACAATCAGTATGATTTGAATCAAACAGTTCAATGTAATGCTGTGAGCTAATTATCAGTCTTAAAAGACGTATCACCCTTAAGGACGACAGTAATCAACATTTCACTTTCTGAGCAATCTGAAAGAAGCGCTCATGAATTATTGTCCGACCCTTTGTGATCTCACACTGGGTCTTTTGGAATTAAATGGGTTACAGTGACATAACATTAGTGTTGGATGTTTTTGATTAGTTCAACAAAATGCATTTTTAGTTTGAGAAAATAATATTTCAAATGAAATTGAAAATATTTGATTTTGTTAGATTACCTGCAACAAATCTATGCCCAGGTGATATAGACTGTCATTTTCTCTGTGTTGCAGTAAGTCAAGGTGGAGTTGCTCTGGTGCCAGCTGACATGTGTCCTGATCCAGGAGTACCAGAAAATGGCAAAAGAACAGGGTCTGATTTTAGGTAAGCACAATTTTGTTACTTGCACAGAGGAGACGCTGGAGAGAGAAAAAAAAAATGCCTTGAATAAGTGTGCTTGTGTACAGTGTTTGCCCTCATTTGTCATGTGCTGCATGCTGATTATGTTTGTCAATATATTGAAGGGGACCAACAGCAAATTGTGCACTTAGACATGTGTTGACACTAGGCTGCGAGAATGGAAAGTTGAAGAGGCTAGAACTTATATAGCAATGACTTAGCTATCTGTTATTGACTGAAATGTCACAGTAGCTTATGATGTCAACTTGTGATGTTAATAGCAAACCAATTCTTGTGTTAGTACACAGGTATTTTCTTTGATACTATTGCTTTAACACACATCATCATTAAATATGTAGTATGCTTATTTTGCCTTTACCTTCTTCTAATTGTATGTCTCAACTCATGTTAGGAAATTGAGTTAAATCATTCATGGAGTTTTTCATTCAAAGGAATGAAAGAGTGAATCTTCTGTAAATGGCAGGAGTAAAAATTTAGCATTCTGTTGAATGGCTAAACTCACACTGTGATTGAATTCAATCAGCAATGAAACTTGAGAAGGCTTGATATTCTGATTGAAGGATGTGATAACAAAAATATAGACACTGTGGTCTTGTTTCAAATTGGGAGCACCCCTACCTCTGAGTTAGAAGGTCAGAGTTCAAGTCCTTCTTTAGGATTTGATGGCCACAAAATATGTGCAATAATAAAGTTAAACAGTTGATCATCAATCTCTAAACGCTTCTGAGTAAGAGCATAAGATTTTCCTGTTCAGCCAAAACAATGTGGCAGCTGTGGGTCAAAAATTCAACGACTTCCAAAGATTCCTCATATTGGATCCTGCGATGAATAAATGACACCCTTGTTCAAAAAAGTTTTCCATAAGCATTGTAGCTACTATATTCCTGGAACCTTATTTGTTTAATGATGGTTTCTGTCATGGAGAGATGTCAAAGAGGAGTCTTGTGTCCAGCAGTACAAGTCGATCTTTATTCAGAGTTCTTTACCAATGCAGCTTAGAAGAGGTCCTTGGAAACAATTTCCATGGGACACTCTCTCCGTCTCTCTCTCTCAGCCAAGTACAGCATTTTTATACACAGTCCTCGTTACAATGATTACGTGCAACATTGATGTCATTGTTAGCCACATTCCCCTAACCTACACATCCAATCCTGTAAACACACGATCAATGATGGACAACTCCAAGTCAGCCTTCGGTCCTCCCACGATCTCATGATGTTTACCTGACACCTTTATCACCAGTCCTTGGGATCTCGCAATGAATTTTATTCAATCACATTCCAATTCTGATAGTTATACTCCTTCACAGGTACTTGTCAGCTGCATCACGTTAACTGCCAATAAACTGGATGCTCACTTATCACTAAAGACATTTTTAAAAATTCTGTTGTACAACCTATAACCCTACTAACCTTATTACAGAAGATTCAAAAGGATACTAATTTCTATTAATTGTTATAACATTTGTAATATCAGTTTCAATAAAAACTTAGTTATAAGTGAAGTTATATAGTTTCATCTAATGTTATGATTTTTAACAAAGCTAAAATATTGGGGTGCAGCTTCTCTCTCTCAACCTTGGAAGATCAAACAAACACAATCGCTGTCTTGTAGCTGCAAGCACAATTCCTTCTTTCTGCAGGCTGTAAGTTGGTTCAAAACAGAAGTTTCATTCTTAGATGAACCTTATTCTCTCTATTCTAATGACTTTTCATACTATTTTCTTTACTTAATAAGACAGTGTCTATCTGAAATCCATTGATAAGGGTCCAATTCAATCACTTCCACAACTTTAACAAGTCATTCAAAGAAACTTATTTGGATTCAACAGAACATGACCTCATCCTTTTCCCTATCTTATAATTTGTCTCTGTCCTTACCTAGACTGCTTGCTAAGCTGTGAAGCTGCAACTGTTTATTTTCTTGAAGTCACACTGTCCATGTTTTACAATCTCTTTATACCCCCTACCATGCTGACTGGCTCTTAGTGCCCTCTTACATGTTGTCTATTTACACCATTCGTCGCTTCATCATCCCTGTTAATGAAATTGGTCTCTTTTTGCTGTCAAAAGTTGATTGCTCATAGGAATGCAATGAAATCCTTTCATGCTAATTTGTAGGTTTCATTTCTAATTTACAATTACCTAAAATGTTAGGAATACTGTGGAGTCAGACTTTTCTTTCTCCATTTACTAAATAACAAACTTGGGACTGTAGTTAGTATCCAGGTGTCTTTGATCTAAGCTTTTCAAGAATGCTCCTCATCAAAAAATGCTTCTGTTCTTAGAGCTGCCTGACTACAGAAATCTAATTAAATTGCCCGATGTCTAATGCACTAAAACTGAAGTTACCACTATTACCGTATGAACAAATAGAACACAGAACAGAGAACAGTACAGCACAGTACAGGCCCTTCATCCCACGATGTTGTGCCGAACTATTTTCCTACTCTAAGATCAAACTACCCTGTTTACCTTACGTTTTACTATCGTCCATGTGCCTATTCAAGAGTTGCTTAAATGTCCCTAATGTATCTGACTAACATATATCCTTGTGTACTTGTTTCTGTAATTTGCAAATACCTGAAAATATTTTAACTAGGTGGGTCATGTTTCCCTTTTTACATTTTATTAAACGGAACTGTTACACCAGTTTCCAAAATAAAAGACTTTCATTTGTGCCTCGTTTAACAGGGATGCCTCACTGACTACACTCCCCCTCTTCTCTCACCGAGATCTTTCATTATCTTATTCGGTGATTCTGTGTGGAAGCCCCAAGTCTGGCTGTGAAAATCTGCTGTGCGCAACTGCCAATACCTTTTCAGGCCATCTCTTGTCAGATGAAAAGCCATGGGCGGCCATTTTAAGTCAACTTTATTCACAGGCAGTTGCGATAGTCTCTATTCAGGATCTGCAATGAGAGTTTCAAAATCTGAAAGATCCTGTAATATTCTGTGACACCTCATTAAGCTGAGGGGCATTTGAGTGCACAGTCGCATTATGAATTTGCTTAAGAGATTATGAAATAGAAAAAAAATGTTCAACTCAATTTTCATATTTGATTTCTTATTCCATGTAATGGTGCTAAATTGTATTCTAAATGAGGTCAGAATCATTTGCTGATCAATACTTATCAGAAATGGTTCGTAAATGTCAAAGCACTTAATTACAGAACTAAATGATAACTGGATCATTGGGTTCATAATAAGCTTTACATTTCGACTGAAGACTGAAAGAATGTGAAACAGAGCCAAATGACCCTGCATAAATTTCCTAAAAGACTTAACAATGAAACTTTGAAACCCATAATTCAATCCAGTCTGTGGCAACAAAACCAATAACAAAGTAGTAATTATAGAAAGAAAGAATTATAGTACCAATTCTATCACAATGAAGTTCATTAAGAACAAGTTTGACTCATGAGCGCCTTTAGCTACTCTACATGAGTGTTAGATTTCTAGATACTTGATTTTATAACTGATGTGGACTACTTGGTCTTAAACAGATACATTACCGACCAGACCATCAAATGCACCCCCAAGCACATCTAAATAAGCAATTGTTTCAATTTTAATATTGTGAGTATACGTGGTGGAAACTGATCTTCTACAATCTCTGACCCTACTCAATTATTTAATGAATGAGGTCTTGGAAAGTTTCACTGAATCATGTCTGCAGGATTCTAAGAGAGCTGGCTTAAACTGCAGAGCTCATTGGAAATAGTGACCTCTTGGATCAATTACCATATCTTGATTCCCTTAGCTTAGAATTTGCTATTACCATGACATTAACAGCATCAGCTTTGGCAATCAATGCTGCACTGATGCTGATGGCATCTTTGGAAATCCATAGATAATATAAGGGAATGTGAAAATCCAGAATGTTTTATCAATAATTTTACTACCTCCAGGAATGCTGTTGCAAGATTTCTCTGAGTGCAATCCCCAGGAAGTTCGTGATTGATTTAAAAAATGCCACTTTTATGCTAGAAATGTTACGCCCAATAAATGTACATGGGGCGGTTTAACTGAGTGTTATCTTTATGATTACTGCTAAACAACCTAAATGGCCTTGATAGTTATATAATTTATAATTTATACTTACACCTTGTCAAATTTATCCAATCAGGCACTTTTCTACACTTCCTTAACTTCACTAAGGATTGGTCTATTATTAAGAGATAACAAGGTGTAGAGCTGGATGAACACAGCAGGCCAAGCAGCATCAGAGGAGCAGGAAAGCTGACGTTTTTG